GGGTGATGATGATAGGTACTCAGCGTTCAGATATTTATCCGAATGAGTTGGCATTCTGAAACCGTTGAGCCCTATGATGTCCGGTTTTCTTTTGACAAGGACATCAAGAAACGTCAAGGTACCATTTTCTTCTATTTATATCCCAGTGATGCGGTTCTCTGTTATTTTATCGGATCAAATAATAAATGTATCGTCTAAATATCTTTAAAGTTGGTGACTCCAGGACTTTCTTCTCAAAGGTTTCCATGTAGATATTTGTCAAAGTAAACGACAAGCGCGAATCCACAACTGCTCCTTCAGTTTAATCATAAACCTGGTTCTTAAAAGGTACATCTGGTTCATAACCTTTGCCAAGTTTACTAAATTCTCATCCATGTCATCTCCGATGATCATCTGATGAAGTTGAATAACGACGTCACTTAAATATTCACTTGACCTAGTTGTATTTTTTTTATTTTGTCAATTAAACTCTGTAAGATTTGTGACAGTGTTCTTTGTCACTAGACCTCTAGATAGATGTGACACGTACAGGTGAGTGGATGAGTGACTAATCCAACTACACTCGCTTATTCGTTGGAATCGTACGTTTGGCTTGTAGATCTATGGATGGCAATAAAGTCGAGCTGTTTTTAAATCATTGGAAATAAGGTAAATATTCTTTGAGAAAGTTAGACGGTTGAATTGAGTGAGTTGATTGAATTTATTGGGTTGTTCATGATCTTTTCATGCACCAGGTCTTGTAGTATGTTCTCTCTCCATTTTGGATATGTTGTGTACAAGAGGGAGTATGGTAATTTCCTTTCAATTCGTTGATAACTTGGACTTCTTTCTAGGCATTTCGTAATATATGTTATGACTCTTACTCCCTCTTTGTCTTTTTTGGAGGGAAGGGGATACACGTCGGAAAATGGTATTCAGGAAGCTGATGATTTTCTCTTTTAATAGGCCTTTGACATTGGTGGAATCATAAACTAGTTGCGTAGAGGCTAGATTAACGTCTTGGGAAAAATCCATGCACATATNATTAAATGGGGGACCTACAAAAATAGCGTATCGACCTACGCGACCCATGCATTTAAACATAAACATAGCTTAAAAAATGTTATAAGCTGATATTGTTCGAACATGCAATGATGGTATAGTCTTTCCGATATCAATTGAAGACCAAACAGCTAGGCAGTATGTACCAGGCTCGGTCGCTACACAGCAACTCGGCAATGAAATATTTGAAAAACTTGTTCTCATATTTATTTAGCCATACCCATATACAGGTCTGGTCGAGGTGGTCGACATAAATAACTAAAATATGTTGTTGGCTAAATGAACATATAATAGAAATTTCTACACATTATATACAAATTATTATAAGTTTTTACCTTTAGTAGAAAACTTTTTTAGAGACGCCTATGAAACTCATTAAATTTTATTGTTAGGCGTTTTTATATATGTTCAACTGACTTCGGAAAGACCTTACGAGTAACTGCGTCAGTTGGACAGATATGATGTAATTGATTGTGAGCAAAGAGGAACTTATAAAACTTCATTTAGAAGAAATTTATGACTACATTAAATTTAAAAGATTCTAGGGTGGTCTATCATCTATTTTAAATCAATCATTNATTAAATGGGGGACCTACAAAAATAGCGTATCGACCTACGCGACCCACGCATTTAAACATAAACATAGCTTAAAAAATGTTATAAGCTGATATTGTTCGAACATGCAATGATGGTATAGTCTTTCCGATATCAATTGAAGACCAAACAGCTAGGCAGTATATACCAGGCTCGGTCGCTACACAGCAACTCGGCATTGAAATATTTGAAAAACTAGTTCTCATATTTAGTTAGCCATACCCATATACAGATCTGGTCGAGGTGGTAGAAATGTATAAGCCAAGTTGAAGAATGCGCGCGCGGGCAAACGGCGTACATAGACAGCCGAACTGGGCGACTGGGCAATAAATCTCAGCTGCTGACAAGTCGCTGACAAATTACCTAGCAGTGCAGTGCAGCAATGCGGAATTTGGTGTGATTCAGGTAATTTTAATTTATTATATGCACCTTCTATTAATCGTTCATATTACAATTGCGAAAGGGAGAAATAAGAGGATAATTTGTGTACTAATATTATTACAACGTAGCATTTTAGAGACCTTTTGAAACGGAACAAAACGAAATTTACCATCGATATAATAAAATTGTTTGAGGACATAAATAATTAAAATATGTTGTTGGCCAAATAAACATATAATAGAAATTTCTACACATTATATACAAATTATTATAAGTTTTTACCTTTAGTAGAAAACTTTTTTAGGGACGCCTATGAAACTCATTAAATTTTATTGTTAGGCGTTATTATATATGTTCAACTGACTTCGGAAGACCTTACAAGTAACTGCGTCAGTTGGACAGACATGATGTAATTGACTGTGAGCAAGGAGGAACTTATAAAACTTCATTTAGAAGAAATTTATGACTACATTAAATTTAAAAGATTCTAGGGTGGTCTATCATCTATTTTAAATCAATCATTTAAGTGGGGGTCTTCAGAAACTATCGCAAAAAAAATATTTAAACCCCACCTCCACATTAAAGAGGCCACGCACGACGTCGGTTTAGACGTCTCGACTTTTCGAGAGATATATCGATCTCTTCAGAAGAAGAAACTTTGAAACTGGAGATTAAGTCCTCTGGCTGCTATTTATATGGTTCAAGGCGTTCCGTGCATCTTTTTTTGCTAATGAGTCGTTTCCAAATTCCAGGTAATTCTAACCCCTCGTCTGAATTACCCCGATTCTCCTGGATTTCTTTGCCTCCCTGTAAAGTCTTGGCCAAAATATTATCACTCACCAGGATTCTAATATTAGTTAGGTCTATCGCATCATGTATCTGCTCTGTGCTCCGCAATTGCTGATTTTTCTTGTTATTCTTCAACACACTTGTGCTCCTTTAACCTATTACTGACATGTCTTCTTATTCATCCCATGTCTACTTTTTCGGACGTCACGGGATACTGAATACGCCGGCGCCGGTGCTCTGAAATAAATCGTTTCTACAACTTGGAAAGGAATCATCTTTGATGTGTTGTAGTTGGTGCTAACATTCAATATTCTTTCTTTAAGGTGGAATCTATCTTTTTACTACATCCTTGTACAGGCGCGTAGCTCGGGGGGCAGAGATGGACACACCCCCACCTCCCCAGAGTCCGGTGTCCTCCCCAAAAACGATTTAATAATATCATCTTTTTATCGGACTAACCGGCTAATAATCTGGCCCCTCAAGGTCAATCCCTACCTACGCCCATGGCCCCATATTGTACAAAGCAGATGGATTGTTGACAGATATTCCTTCTATTTCCTTATTCTTAGGTGTCCGTCTGATGTCTATTTCAATATTCTCGTTAGTGTATTCATTTCATCTAAGAGTAGATTGTAAGTGCTGTAGGTAGTTCCTCCTATAAGTGTTCTGGCTTGTAAATGGCATCTGCTCGATGGACTTTACCTTGTTTATAGACTGGGTGATAATGATAGGTACTCAGCGTTCAGATATTTATCCGAATGAGTTGGCATTCTGAAACCGTTGAGCCCTATGATGTCCGGTTTTCTCTTGACAAGGACATCAAGAAACGTCAAGGTACCATTTTCTTCTATTTATATCCCAGTGATGCGGTTCTCTGTTATTTTATCGGATCAAATAATAAATGTATCGTCTAAATATCTTTAAAGTTGGTGACTCCAGGACTTTCTTCTCAAAGGTTTCCATGTAGATATTTGTCAAAGTAAACGACAAGGGCGAATCCACAACTGCTCCTTCAGTTTAATCATAAACCTGGTTCTAAAAAGGTCCATCTGGTTCATAACCTTTGCCAAGTCTATTAAATTCTCATCCATGTCATCTCCGATGATCATCTGATGAAGTTGAATAACGACGTCACTTAAATATTCACTTGACCTAGTTGTATTTTTTTATTTTGTCAATTAAACTCTGTAAGATTTGTGACAGTGTTCTTTGTCACTAGACCTCTAGATAGATGTGACACGTACAGGTGAGTGGATGAGTGACTAATCCAACTACACTCGCTTATTCGTTGGAATCGTACGTTTGGCTTGTAGATCTATGGATAGCAATAAAGTCGAGGTGTTTTTAAATCATTGGAAATAAGGTAAATATTCTTTGAGAAAGTTAGACGGTTGAATTGAGTGAGTTGATTGAATTTATTGGGTTGTTCATGATCTTTTCATGCACCAGGTCTTGTAGTATGTTCTCTCTCCATTTTGGATATGTTGTGTACAAGAGGGAGTATGGTAATTTCCTTTCAATTCGTTGATAACTTGGACTTCTTTCTAGGCATTTCGTAATATATGTTATGACTCTTACTCCCTCTTTGTCTTTTTTGGAGGGAAGGGGATACACGTCGGAAAATGGTATTCAGGAAGCTGATGATTTTCTCTTTTAATAGGCCTTTGACATTGGTGGAATCATAAACTAGTTGCGTAGAGGCTAGATTAACGTCTTGGGAAAAATCCATGCACATATTGACAATTTTTCTATTCGCCCACTATTGCAAGAACGAAGGTAAGGTGCATTTATGACAATCATTGCGCACCAACTTCTTGTTGGTGGCTTCCTGGCTTCTCGCCTCTGTATTTTTTATATTATTTTATATCAATAAGTGTAGAAGACTGTTTTAATTTCAATATCCTAATCTTGAAATGGAAGTTTTTCCGAATACAAGTTCATGGCGATATATTTTTTATTCTACGACGCAATATCCGGGAGTAAAGTTCGGGCAAGTATTTTAGTTACACCCTGTACATAATTTCAGTTATAATGGAAACGACTCTACCCGTGTTCTTTAATTTAGCTAGAATTATCTTGACATCATATCAGAGCTTATATGCGTTTTTTAATCATTACATACTAATTTTGTCACTTAAATTTGTAATACTCACACAATCCTATACTTTTAGCACTCTTTATAAAAGAAGTCTTACCTTTAATGGTCTCTTTATGGTGACAGTTTCTATCGTCGTGGTAGGCTGCGACATATTTCTGAAAAAAAAAGATTCAGGTCAACAACATATTCACTTATCAATGTCATTACCCTACAAGTGAATTGTTTCATGGTCCTATTAAACACGTTTTACTAGAATAATGTTCCTAATATGGGACGGTTGAAAAATGAGTCATTTAGGAGAAATTGCCGCTTTCGTGTAGATAATTCTTTATGTTTGCGGTCGAATAAATTGTGAATTAATCATAACTATTTCCGATTATTTATCAAGCGAAACTGAGAGTTAGGTAAAAAACGGTTAATTCTTGAACCTAGGATAATGCAATGATAAACGCAATTAACGATTTCCTGAGGTGCCAGTTATATTAGTGTAATACAGGTACGTGAATCTGCTTGTAAAGATTTAGTTACCTTATATCCTATGTCATGTAAAAATGAATTTACTTATTTCACATATTTTTTAGTCTGTAAGAAATCCTGGGACAGGAATATTCTTATTGTCAGTTATGCGTCTCTTAATGTACTTGCCCGTGTTGTCATGTCAGAAGTATAGATGTTAAGCACCAATTATTTTTCAAAAACGAGAGGATACTAAAATATGAATGGATTTATTTAGGACAAATAAAATTTATTAGTCAATGAAATCATTTATTTCCACCTGAAGAAGGATTTCTTTGGAATTAGTAAGATATTTATTTGAAAGAAAACGCTAAATATTTAGTCTTAAAAAATAATTTAAGCAAGTAAAATAAATAAAATATTTAGTGTGCACAATATTTATTCCCTGAAAAGAATACTCAACAGGTATACCTATCTTCACTTATTATTGGAAAAGCTACATTAATTAATATTCATATTTATTTCCTGTACAACAATCTTATGTTAACAAAAATATATTCCATCTTTACAACCGGCAATCTGTAATGCATTTTTATGGATTTAGCTACACAATTTATCTAAATACAAATTAATGCACAAATAATAGGCTTTTCATATGCACGTATTATTGGTGCAGTTGGGAAAAAATGGTTAGTCTTTTGTTTCATTAGGGAGAAAATTTTTCTAATGCTCCTCGTAGGAATACCGTCATGGTCTTCATCAGAAAAATACGCAGAACTCGTGTAAGATATACCGCAACTAATGGTTGAATAAAAAACGCATTTAGCAAAGTCCGGCCAGTAAATTTTCCCCTTTTATCTTAGCCTTTAATTTACCACATCTGATTACACGGTATTTGGGTCAAAATAATATATTTTTGTGGCAGTCGCGTGTCGCTAAGTCCCACATATCAAACAACTAAACAAAATGTAAACTGCAGTAATTTATGACGTGCGGCGCATATGCGACACATGATTTCATCAAAATTCCGCGCTCGTAATTCATTTGTTTACTAGAAAAGTAGGACGCTGGCATTCTGGATACAAATATATTTTTATCAACACCATTAACACAGGAATTTTGTAAATATCAGATCTTACTATCAAAGGAACAGAAATATTGCTAAAATCATTGAAAAAATTAATTTTTTTTTAAGGTATTCTAACTTTAAAACAGAAAATATTAATATTCGCAATTATCTCTATCTAAATGTCCTTATATACAATTACATTCTTTTACTTATGAAGCTTAATACATAGAGTCCTGAAGATATCATAAAATAACAAAACGTCGACAATAGTGTTTTTTTGTTACACTTCTTGACCTAATTCATATCAGAAAAGAAAACAGTAAGAACTGACGGTCGTAATAAACTAAATATTTACAATAGTTTATTATGTCTAACTTTGTATTTAATTTTCCAATTCATTGTTTTCTGAATGTCTTTTTATTTTGTATTTTCGGTTCAGTTCTAATTTAAAATTTAAATTATTAAAAATATTCACAATTGTAGTACTATTGCACTGTTGCCTACAATTTATATAGAGAATATGACTAATTACAATTTGTGTTATATATTTCCAGAAAACTGTTACATTGTTGCAGAAAATGTTTAAAATATTTTTGTACTGTATTGTTATATTTTTTTATTATAATAATATGAATTTTATGTTCTTTGTAAATTAATTTTATTGAATTCGTTGTTGTAATTTTTGCCTGGACACCAACAAGAACTTGTCTTGTAGAGTCACTTGTATTTAGAGCTAACTCCTCATCAGGGTGTGGTTTCCTTTAATTTTGTACTTTTATGAATACAGAAGTTGTGAGAAAATGAAAAATTCAACTTAGCATTTCACAAAGAACTTATATTACAATCTCAAGATATTTTGACAATTTAACAAACTTATTTACTTATACTACGTTATATTAACTAGCTATAGTTTTCCCTTTTTTATTTTGTTTGTATTTTAAATTTTTTGACTTTTTTGAAACTGAAAATTTAATTTGAGTTTATGTGATTGATTTTTGTTACGAATTCGTTTAAATCGATGTTTTTAATTGGCCGATTACTAAAAGTAGAAAACTCACGTTACATTTTAAAGTAATGCTAGTTTCAGGATCGCATTCCGTTCTAGTTCTTTTTGTGGCTGGAACTGTTGCCAGTATTGTACCACGTTGTCAGGCTGGTCCAGAAATTGCTCGTGTCGTCTTCCACTCAGTAGAAATGGCTTGATTGTAACTTGCTGTAGCAACTTTACACTGCACTTTACTATATTTACATTTGACAGTTTTATAATTTACACATTTGATTATTTAACATTTGTACCCATTATACCTAACAACTTCCAGTAAGTATACGGTTTGTTGTGATAATTCGGGCTGATGGAAAACGGCACCTCTCGACAGATGACATTCAACCTTGTGAATAATATTTGACGTTTATAACTTGGTTACTAAATTCACAATTTATTTACTAAATTTGACTTTCTTTTGTTTATTTTAGGCTCAACTCGACGATGTTTACTGCTTCGCAAATTATGAAAGACTGGCTACTACAAGCCCTGTTTTACTTTTTATAAACTGAAGACAAATGAGTTTGTTACTATCTAGACGTCATACTAAACTTTTGTGAAATTTTTAATTGTAAATTATGGCTTTATGCATGTTTTTTGCAGCATGACTGGTTCTGATTTTACACATTTTTCTGTAAATTTTGATGCATGTATCTTGTCTCTATGTCTATTTTCAAACATTCTACAAATTTTGCCTATTTATGTAAATTTTAACCACTTTGTGCTATATAGCTTTATTATATGTCTGTAATACTGTTCAACCACATTGATATTTACTTATTTTCACATTTATGAACAGTCTGTTCCTGTTTGAATTGGCTATTAACTGAAATGTTTTTAGGTCCATCGTTTTTTTTGACAACTACTAAAGTTTATACACTACTTGGAACGTAAATTGGGATTTGAATACAGTTTTTAACAACTAGAAGGTCTTTTTAACACTCCACAAATCACTTTACAGCTTATATACATACACATCTTGCTCCACAAATTTTACACAAAGTTAAATCATGGATTTTGACATTTCGAAAATCGCTACATGAAGTTAAACAAAAATTTTAATTTTGATTCCAATTATAAATATAGACTAAAGGTATTATAAACTTTAGTTTTAGTTTATTGCATGAATTTTATTTATAAGTGCAGTTCAGATGCAGATTACCATGTTCGACTATTTCTGAATCTAACATATTTGTACATCTTTTTGTACAGTTTGTCTATAATTTTGTGAGATTGGATATGTTCTACATTTAAATGTTGTAGATTCGTCTACTTCAATTTTATGGACATAACCAGTTGCAAATCTAGGTTCATAGTTTATTAAATTTATATTGTTTTGTGCTATGTTTTGTCTTATATTTGTGTAATTTTTATGACAAATAAAAATTATATTTTTGAAACTTGTAGTGTTGTTTATTTTGCACGAAGCTTTAATTAATTCATTGTTTTGTTCATTATCACATTCTACATTGTTTCAATATTATTAAATTTTGTTGAAATACATAAAATTAATATTTTATTTTGTAAAATTATAAGAAAATATATTTGATAAATAATTACATTTGTGATAGTATTTCATACAATATATGGATCACAATAACTACATTGTAAAATACGTTTTTTTCCAGCATGGGTCCCACTTCCACACCAGACGACCCCGATATAATATTTTTTTCACTTATGCGGGTTTAAGCACTTAAAACCCCTAACCGACCTTTGGTTTTGTTTTATCTAAGGGTCGCCGAGAGTCGTTACTACGTATTAAAATATTTTTAGCGTTTACATTTCGCCCCACTTCTGAAAACCTGGCACATATTTCCGAATTTATACGTGTAGGCACGGTAACCCGTCAGGTCTTTAATTTATGACCGGACGGTTCGAATTAAACGGAAAAGTTTCCGGATAAATTTCAGTACTTCTGGCTATAACGCGCGCTTCAGCATCCACTAACGTCTGTCTAACTCGTGAAACAGAATTGAAGACACAATACGGCCGCCGGCTACATTGTGTTTAGTTTTATTAAATTTAATTAAATCACATCCGGGTGATTTATAGTCCGCGGGAATGGGGGGGGTTTATCGTTTTACTCGATTTACATAGAGAAATCCAATAACACATTGCGATGCAGCATCGATATATTTTACATTGTAGTTAATGGTACCCGAAGTTTTATTTAGATCCGTAGCCCTCTTGAGGCAATACTGTATCTATGCAGGGTGATTCAGTCATAATGTCATTAATTTTAATCATGTAGGGCCTAATAGACAAATCGATTTTTAAAAATAAACAAATAACTTAACTTGCGCTTACTCGGCGCCTTACTTCGCAACACATTTTATGAGAGGGAACACGCCAGCGTACTAAAGAGCGTTCGAACGTTGAAGCGAAACAGCTGATTTCCTCAGTTGTCTTGAATTTTGCAATTGGTATCACAATCAAAGTGCAGCGAATCCCAACTTTATTAACAAAGTGCTATGGACGATTGAGTGTTTTTTAGCCATACTGACATTTTATATAAGTAGGTACCATACTACTATTTGAAAAACAATAAGTCATTAGGTATACGTACTACAAACTGAATAATTAAT